GGGCATGGGGATGACACTCTAACCAACTGTGCTCTTCTAAGAGTTTTATAGTTTTAGCTTTTACATTTAGGTTTTGATCCATTTTGAGTTAATTTCTAAGTATGGTGTAAGGTAAGGGTTCAACTCATTCTTTCAGATGTAGATAATTCAGTTTTCTGAGCACCATTTGTTAAAAAGACTGTCCAAAAGACTGTCCTTTTCCCATTGAATACTCTTGACATCCTTGTTGAAAATCAGTTGATCATATACGTGAGGGTTTATTTCTGTAATCTCTATTCTATTGGTCTATATGTCTATCATTATGCCAGTAGTATACTTTTCAATTATTGTAGCTTTGTAACAAATTTTGAAATTGATATGAGTCCTACAGCTTTCTTCTTCCTTTTCAAGGTTATTCTGAGTCCCTTGAGATTCCATGTGAATTTTAGGATGAATTTTTCAATGCAAACTGCTATAGGGTTTGCATTGAATCTAGAGATTGCTTTAGTTAGTTTTGACATCTTAACAATGCTGTCTTTCAATCACGAATGCAGGATAATCTTTCATTTATGTATCTCTTCTTAATTTCTTTCAACAATGTTTTGTGTTTTCAGTATGCAAGTCTTATACCTTCTTAGTTAGATTTATTCCTAAGTATTTTATTTGTCCTAAGTTCGGGTGTCATCTATAGGTTGCTGCCTGAGTATATACCTCATGGTCTTTGTGAACAACTTGGATTTGTTCATGTGGTTGTTAAAGGACAGTCTTAGAAAGTACTTGAGCTCCTGAAAACACCTGGCTTATCTCAGATTTGGAGAACAGTTTTGTTATTGGTTGAATCTCTTGAAAATGATTGATTGCTTGTACTCAGGGGTTATGTATTATACAGGGTGGGGCAAAAGTAGGTTTACAGTAAGTATGCAAAAATTTATTCTTGTATTATTTCTTCAGTATGCTATTCTTCATATGAACAACTGTAAACCTACTTTGCCCTACCCGTATGTGTATTGCACATAAATACTGCTCTCTCTGGGGTTCACAGATGAGTGCTACTGGTAGATTGCTATGCATGAATGCGCAGGTCTGAGCGAGTTGGGGAGTGAGAGAGAGAGGAAGACAGAAGCACAGACTGACTGAAAGACTGCGCTTTGTATGGCATCACACAACTGCATGTACTGTGTGATTTTCGCTCTTTAGAGTAAACTTGCTCATTGCCGCGCCAGTATAAGTTTAAAAAGATGTGTGTTCTGTCAAGTAAAACCTTCATTTATTGTGTTGCGTGTCTTTGGGGAAGTTGGATGTCGGAGCCTCGTATTTTGGGGCTCTCGTTTGAAGTCCTCTTTGGACATCTATGGACAGATATGAAGGATAACTGACTTTCAAAGCCCACAAATTGTTGTATGATGTTTGCCCTCAAGAGGGAATTTATCTAATATTATTAAACAGGGGAAGAAGTAAGAGGAGATTGTAACACAGGTGGAAAAATAAAAGAATTTTAAGTTGAATAGGATTCTGTTCCCTGGTTTGCCAATGTGATTGCATTCTCCTGGCCAGTTGAGTGACAGGATTGCCTGGGTTACTGGGTGATTGATTCCTCTTAACATGATCTTGGGTATCTCTTTACAAGGGGTTGTCCTCATTAGCTTCTTGCTTCCTTTTCCCAGATAAACATTAGAGGGTAATGATTAGACTTATTGAAGGTCAGGCAACATCAGGAGCTTAGTTTTAGAAACTACTCTTGTGACTTATGATGTTCTCTAGTATAACAAAAACTTATATAATTATTTATGGAAAAATCCTGACTGTATGGACTTCGAAAGATTGTGAGGGTCTTGGGGGAAGAATTTGTCTTATTCTTTTTCCATAATTTTTCTCCTTTTAATAAAACCTTGGCAGTTCTTTTTGTGTCCTTTGTGAAAGGCCACTTGCCCCTAAAGCACACTGTAGGAGTGATGTGTGAACACCCTGCTCTCTGTGAAACTCATGAGAGGGGGCAATATACTGCTAGCATGCACAGCTTGCACTTAAAGTGTAGTACTGCCTCGGGTCCTGAATCTAAAAGGGCACAATTGAAATCCCAGCGGAGTTCTGAAATAGGCTGTGAGAGAGAGTACTGAGCACTGGAAATTCTTCACTGGTATTATTTTCTGCACTCACATTTGTAGATATTTGGTTGCTTGTGTACCTTCTTGTGACATTTTTGCAAACCTGTGTCTCTATCTGCAATAAGAAACCTCAGAAATTGAGATTATGACAAGAGGTGCAGAGAAATGAGACAAAATATTTTTGTTTGATCCAAAGGTATTGGATCAAACAAAAATATTGGATATGTCTGATTAGTTGTTCTTTTCCATGGTGAATATCAGATTCATTGTAACAGATGTAGTTAAATGTCCAGATAGATTCCCTATCCCATAGTAGTCAGTGACAAATATTGTGATTGTTTTATTACTTGAATCTTTAATCCTTTTTTGTTATGCTTCTTAAGTTTATCAGTGTTTTCTGGTCTGTAAATATGCTGGAATTCTTTAGTAATACTGTAAATAGAAGCTGCATTAGAATACAAGGTTCTCCCCACTCCTGGTTCAAATTTTGTTTTTAAATTAATTAATTTGGTAGTACATGGTGTGGACAGTATAATTAGATGGCTCCATTGTAGTGCAGATTCTGATTCTCTGGCTGTCACTAGAGTTTTGGAATCAATGTTAAATAAACTTCTACTTTACCGAGTACAAATAACAATATTAAGTTTGTGGAAATAATAACTGTGCAGAGGTTGTAGATTTTAAGGCACTCTTAACTGTTTCCTTTTTTCATTTTAGAACAGGAAGATAATAAAATGAAATTACCAGATATACCCTCAGTAATAAACCACTTCCCTCAGCCAAAGCTGGACTCCCCAGGGATATGCGAGCCCGATGGACCTGATGATTCTTCCAGCTGTACTGATATTCAAGAAGATGCTCTTTCTTCATCCGAATCAGATTCATTCAATAGGTAAGAAACTCGTAGTCGTTATTTTAAATGTCTTATTTCCTGTGCATGCTAAGATAGCACACATGATTAGAAAATAACTCTGAGGCATAATGCAGTTCCTCAGTCACCTTTACTGCGTGGTAACTTTCACAGTGACAGTGGGTCGTGCGTGGGAGAGTGTGTGCAGCAACCCTAGGGAGGCTTTGTTTTCTACTTTGTAGCCTTTATAACCCTATTTTTCGTGGAGTTGGATAAGAGAGTATGATAGGCAATGAAATTTTTGTCAAGACAATGAGTGAAGGAGGTAAAGATAACTACACTAGAAAATAGTGATGACCAGAAAGACAGTGCACAAAGAGTGAAACAAAAAAAGAATTTGTTCCCAAGAGGACAAATTGAGCAAGTAGAATCAATGGGGAAACTTTAAAAATGAGAGATTTGGAGGTAAGTCATTTTCCAAATGATTTCTTAAATGCTATTTTAGCCCTAGCCGGTTTGGCTCACTGGATAGAGCATCGCCCTGAGGACCAAAGGGTCCCAGGTTCAATTCTGGCAAAGGGCCTGGTTGGGGGGTGTGCAGGAGGCAACCAATCGATGTGTTTCTCTCACATTGATGTTCTCTCTGTTTTTCCCTCTCTCTTCCACTCTATTTAAAAATCAATGGGAAAATATCCTCAGGTGAGGATAAAAAAAAAAGCTATTTTAAAAAGATAAATTTGTTGTTTCACTTATTTATGCATTTAGTGGTTGAATTTTTTTTTATTATTATTGTTGAAAATGTTACATATGTACCCTTTTTTTCTCCCGTTGACCCCTTACAGCCCACCTCCACCCCTGCCCCCGGCTTTCACCACCCTATTGTCTGTATCCATGGGTTATGCATGTAAAAGATGAATTTTTAAAGGAGGACAGAGGTTAATGTGTGTGTGTACACACCATTTTATGTTCTGGCGTTTCACTTTGTATGATAAATACTATTTATGTTTCTACCTCACTTTATATAAACTTTTCCCCCCCCAATGGATGCAATGTTCTGTTGTGTTTCTGTACTATAATTGACCAAACTCTTCAAATGTAGTTGGATATTTACATTTTCCCCAGTGTTCTACTTATATACCCACTGCTGTGGTAAAGCTCTCCCAAGGTAATTTTTAATATTTTTTTTAATATTTAAAAAATTGTTAACAGTGCTCTAGAAAAGCGATTTTCAACCTTTTCCATCTCATGTCACATATGAGATGTGATGTGTTTTATAATCAATAAGACAGATATAATCTCAGCTACAGTCCATGTGTCAAGTAGTTGCTCTCAGCGGGTTGTTGTGATTTACTTGCCTGTGTGTGCATCATGGCTCTCCTCATTTCATTTGAGTTACATGTATTGTTAGCATTACATTAATTTTTCATTTAAAATGTCTTCAACAAAATAATGAAACAAAAAAGTTACAGTGTATGGAAGTCACAGACAGTGCAGCAGGGCATAAATTTGATGTTAGCAAGGTAGTATTCATCATTGGATGAATGACCACAATTCCATAGTTTCTTAGAAAACAATCAAGGAAGTTATAAGAAAGAAAGATACCCATGAGTAGATTTTTGAAATGCAGCATCTGAATATCAAGTCCCTGATTCACTTCAAACATAATTTTATCCCCTAGTTAAAAGTTCCTGAAGTAGGTTATAATACTGGTTGGTGCCAACCCAGCAGAAGTCTGTCGCAAATAGTCATGTTAGTGCCAGTGTTATTTAGAGATTCTAAAATCTAGTCAAAAGAGGTACCCACTTGATTACAGTAATTAACATAGAAATCAGAAAGAGAATTCAAAGTGAAAAGGGCTCATCAGAACCAAATGCTGTTAGTCAAATCAGCATATCAGAAATAAGTTATCTTTATCTGGTCCATCTTATTAATAATATTTAGGCATGCAGGGCAGGGAGATGGGCACTACATTTAGTGGTCTTGTTGAGATCTTTTCCAACTCTAAAATTGGTTAAGAGTATAACGTGTGTGAGTATGTACTCTCTACCATACTCACATAGTATATACCACACACACACACACACACATATATATATATATATATATATAGAGAGAGAGAGAGAGAGAGAGAGAATGAGTCATTTTTTGTAGAATTGACATTAAATTTTAAAAAAATATTAGAGAGGCATTGTCCATAATCAAAGGAGTTTGTTTATACTATGAGATTTTCTAAAAGAAAGATTTATACTTATGATTTATTGACCAAAAAGGTGGTAGCCAGAAGTGTACATGGTGTGGTGAATATGGGTCTCATTTATTTCAGTCAATTAGTTTAGGATCAACACAGTTATCTCTGCTGTGGTGTGTTAGAGAACATGGCCTCATGAAGTGAAATCACAAAGAATACATAATTCCACTGCTTGGTAACCATGACCTTCTTGCAGATGCCACGTGTTGGTCATAAAAGAACCTGAGCCAGGTAAGGTGTGAATGAATGCATTTTGACTCTTCACAATTCCTGGCATAAACAATCACCTCTTCTCTGATGGTAAGTTAGTAGCAGCAACTTTGTGTAGGAAGTCCAACATGGGGGCTGGCACAGAGCACCAGACACTTTGACAGAAAGGCGAATTAACCATTGGTCATGTGTTTGATATATTTTGGTACAATCTTTTCTTCACTTTTAGTATTTTTGGAAGCACTCTCTGTCCAGAATTCTTAAGAGCAAGAGAGCAAAAAACGGAAACGTGAAGAAATCTTATTACCATATCTTGGAAAATTTAAGTAGTTAAATTTTAGCCTTTCCTAAGTTGTAAGCAAATTGAAGAATGATGGGGAAATCTTAAGAGAAAAAGTGCCATTGTTACATTCATCTAAGGCAGCGGTTCTCAACCTGTGAGTCGCGACCCTTTGGGGGTCAAATGACCCTTTCACGGGGGTTGCCTAAGACCATCGGAAAACACATATATAATTACATATTGTTTTTGTGATTAATCACTATGCTTTAATTATGTTCAATTTGTAACAATGAAAATACATTCTGCATATCAGATATTTACATGACGATTCATAACAGTAGCAGAATTACAGTTATGAAGTAGCAACGAAAATAATTTTATGTTTGGGGGTCACCACAACATGAGGAACTGTATTAAAGGGTTGTGACATTAGGAAGGTTGAGAACCACTCATCTAAGGAATATTGAGGTACTGGTACTACCAGCCTACTAAGACCACGCTGAATTTCTCGATTACTGAAATAACGGGAAACACTATCTTTATCATCAGAGTAGCCTCTGAGAGCCAAAGGGCAAAGTTGAGATGTGTTGCAGTTTTGAAGTTTGGTTTCAGACAGGTCTTCTAGAGCAAGTCTTGGTTAGGATTGGGTAAGCCTCGTAGTTCAGAATTGGTGGATACAGCAAGATGAGGATTTTGAGATGCGGGGTTCAGAAGGTCCTGTGGGTATGTCCTCTGATGCTTTCTCTTGAGAAGCTGATGGATCTTTCAGGAAGCTTTTGTCTTAACAGTTATCTTCCTGACAGGAGTGTCCTGGATTAGTAGTTGCATTGATGAAATAGTGGATGGTAAAGTCTTCTATTGTAGACAGGATGGTGTGTGTTTTCTACAAACGCTATTGGAGTGCTAAGAGTGCTACATGTATTATGTCATTCAGTCCACAGGCAAACCCCACTTTAGAAAGGTAGAAATAAAAGGTCAAAGGAGTTGAATAAGTTGCATAGTATACGTCAATACAAGGATTTGAACCCAGGTCTAGTTCTATTTTGAACCTCAGAGCCCAAGTTTGTTTTCCTGACTGATAATGATGCTATAGCCAACCTGCCTTGCTCTTAACATTCTTGAAAGAGTAGAAATACACAGTTCTTGAAATGGTTTGGTTTCCTTAGAAGCAGACCTGAGACAAGGATTGAGTGGACATGTTTAATTTGGAAGGTGAGGGAACCATTGTAGGGTGTGGGGATGTGAGACAGGGAAAGGAAGATAGCATTTAAGGGGGCCATGTTTTTAAACCAGATGTCACTGTGAGCAACTGGAGTTTAATTCTCTTGGGAACTGGGAGCTGGTTTAAAGCACACCTGAATTACCCCACTCAAGGGTCAAGGGGCAAAGGAGTCAGTTATTTGGTTGGAGCTGCCCTCTGCTGCTTCTAGCCTCCTGTGCTGGCAACAGAGCAACTAGCAGCGAGAGGACAGCTCAGACAAAGGCACTGACAGTTGGAAGTCAGGCCTGCTACACTGAGGGGAAGGACTCGGGGATAGGAGCAGGGCACCCAAAGGATCTGCCATGGCAGTGATTCCAGCTGAAGATGGGGAAATGGTTTGGTTTTGCATATGCTTTATTAATACAAATGGGTTGCTGTAGGGTTTTGCCTGTATCTCTAGCCCAAGAGAATGCAGGAATGTATGAGGGCATTCCAGAGCTCATTGCACCTCTGTGCCTGCCAGGAAGGGAAAAGCTATGTTTAGGGCTGATGACGAAGTGATAGCTGAGCAAATGTTGGGGATGGGGCAGAGGAGAAAAGGACAGATTATGCAGAAAGCTCTGAGGCAAATGGCTCCAAAAACTGATGGAAGGAAATGTGCTTGTTGATGAGAAACAATTTAGTTTTAAGTCTTGTGTGACGACAAACTGAAGTGTGAAATCATCATCAAACTGAAGTTTATCGACACACTAAATGAAAATATCTTGGCCTTGGGCAGAAAATCACAAGCATAGAACTACCCATAGTTCTTTGGTTGTCAGTAATGCATTTTATTATCCTGCTTTGTTTCTCCTTCACAGAGATAAGAGCACTACTAATGGGCTTTGTGTATGTGGACATCCTCTCCCACTTGTGGAGTTACTCAGTTGGGTATGGCCGATAGGCCTGCTGGTTTTGTTTGTTTGTTTTGGGGGTTTTTTCCTTTGGAAAATCTTAAGTACCTTATTAATGGGTGACTTTTCACTCTCCTTGGACATAATTTTTTAAAGGCCAGCTCTGCCCTGGCTGGGTGGCTGGGTTGGTTGGAGAGTTGTCCTGTACAC